ACCTCATCTGATAGAGAATTTCACGAGCTACAAGATAGGCTACCTTAGAAGTTTTAGAATTCATTTTTGGCTGCTGAGTAGGCCTGGTTTCTTTCTCCACTAAAGAATTGATCAGGCTTTATGAGCGAGTTTTTTTCTTCTAGTCAAAAGCTTCTAGTCAGTTAAATAATGTAAATAAGCTGAGAAAACTTCAAGACATATACTTCCAAGTATCCTCTACAAATTGGGAGGGCTTAAAGAAAAATTAAAACCTTGAAAATATCACCGCTTTTTGGCTCAGCGAAGATTTTTTACCCCACCTTACGGCTAGTTTCGCTCGAAGCAAGCATTTTGAGGCAAAACTTTTGGTACAAAAGTTGTTCAGAATCAAATTCTGCAGTCCCTCACGGGAGCATTTTTTAAAATTTTCTGTTTTTGGTTGTTTTTTTTTTAAATTAAATTTTACGGTTTTAAAATCCTAAAATTTCATATTTTTCAATTTAAAAAGCAAAAAAAAATTTTAAAAAAAGCTCTCGTGAGGGACTCCGAAATTCGATTCTGAACAATTTTTGTATCAAGAGTTTTGTTTCAAAATGCTTGCTTCGAGCGAAACTAGCCGTAAGGCTTTTTCCAAAATACTTTTAGCTCTAAAATTTCCTCGGGAAGGTGAAAGTTAAATTTCTCCGTCAAACTTCATTTGGGAACGACGTAAAGTTTTTCTCCTTATACAAATTAATGTTCTCTATCGAACTACGCTAGAATCAACTCTTCATATCGGAAAATGAAGTTTTTATTGAAATTTTAAAAATAGGGCAAAAAACCCGAAAAAAACTTAAAAATTTTTTTATCAAAAACTATAAATCTGGGAACTGAAAGCTTTGTTGAGGCGTATGCTTCGAAGTGTCCTCCACCAACTGCTGGAAAAAAATGGGTGGGAGACCCCCCTTAACAGAATCAAAACTTATTTTGCGTTTTTCTTAAATGTTTTTTAGCTTCAGGGCTTTCGCCGCGCACAGGAATTCACGGTAATCGGAGAAAGAAAATTTTTTTCGATTTGTAGATAACACCTATAGCCAGTTGATAAAGTTCGATTTTTAAATTATGCTTCTATTCTTTACAGAAATGAGGATTTCTAAACAACCGTCCAAGGTTTTTTCAGACTTTAAAGTTCTATTAAGCACCAGAAATCAGTAAATGAGAAATTCAAAAATCGGGTTCTGTTAACTGCTAGGTATAGGAGTTTACTGCAAAACAAAAACAGCCCGAGCTCTCCATCATTTACCTGGAATGAGAATTCTTGTGCGTGATAGACGCCTACTTTTGGCCCTTTCTTTTGCGCCCTCTCTCGAACAGTTGCTCCTTGACCGGTACTGGTACCGGTTTATGGCTCATCAAGACACGATTGAGATAGAAAGAAAAAAGATGATGTATCTCATGAATGGCCACTTAACTTTTAGCTTAAATCTTTTCTTCACAAACAGGACACAGTGGACAATCACACGGAAATTAGGCGAAAAAACGAAAGTGAGATTTTTCGAGATACGAATGGCACCCAACACACAGTATTCACCAGACAATTTAATGGTGAAAAAATTTTGATCCTAATGCTTAAGATCAATGAGAAAGGTAAGTTGCGATTTTTGGCCATTTTAACAAGACTTTGTCAAAGAATCAACTTTTGTAACCAGATAACAAAATTTTCCAAAAATGATTTACACATATTCTGAAAGCTGAGCTTTCGGGCTATAGATTCATAAAAAAGTTTTGTTTATAAAACTTTTCTACTGCAAGAAAAGTAAGGTTTTTCTTTCAATACCTGTTTTGTGAAAACACGTTTTCAGCAACGTGCGAGCGCGAACTTTAGCGGAGAACCGCCGAAGCTTTCAATAAATGTTAATCTCTATATGACACGTCTATAGAGTTAGCATAAACCTTTGCTTGTGCAGAAATGGACTTTCCACAAACTTTGGTTTTTCAGAGGTTTTTTCAAGTTTCTTCGGTTTTGGAGCATCTGAATCAAAAGGACAGATTCGGAAAAGTACATCGAATGATGTATAATTTACAGCAGTTTTTTGGGAAAAAATTGTAAGTTTTCATAGAAAGCTAAATTTGAGGCAGCACCGTGGTGCTTGAGGTCGGTGGTTTTTATATCGTTAGAAAAGAGATCTAGAGGCCTACAAATAATTGTTTTATAGATTTCCGAGTACGGCTGATTCAACAGACTTATTTAAAAATTCTAAACTGGTTTGCAAAGGTTTTCTATAGACCGGATCTCTGAAAAATTCTTAAAATATGAATTTTGAACTTTGCAAGTGACTCCATTAGAAAGAGCACACTCGAAAACCTACAAAAACATATCTGAGAGATCTTTCCAGCGCTTTAAAATCCAATGTCCACATGTCTAGCCAAAATTGCCCACTGTGCAGGGACAGCCTTTGACTAATGATACTTTTACGGCCATGCACCATACGACGATCTTATAGGTAAATTTGGACGGAAAATCGAATGAGTATAGTTAGAAAAGTTCATTATTTTGTATGTTATGGAATTTTTACCATAGCTCCGTGGACTTTCTCCTAAATACTATTCATATCGTTAGATAAATACTATCGGCTTCAGAAATGCTCTGTCAATTGAAAAAGAACGGATTCTTTAAGAATGAACACCTTCAGAATTGATTCTCAGTTTAAAAAGCATTTTTAAGACTTCTTAATTATACTCTACACTGGATTCTGCAGATTTTTATGTCCGGCTTAGATAGTTTTTTATTCGTCAGAAACGCTGCTTGACAATAAAAATCTCTTGCGCTTTCGCCGCTTAACTCATTTGTTTATAAACCCATGTTTGTTAATTTATCTGTTACTGTACTTTGTTTTCAAGAGTTTCTCGTTTTGAAATCCACCCTTCGCATTATTCTTCTTCCGTACATCACCAACACAAAACAAGAAAAAAGAAAACTTTCATTATTGTATAAAAACAAACAAACAGACAAACAAAAAAAATTCGAACAAAAACTGTTTCAGTTTTGTTTTACAAGTTCAAGAATATGTGTTTGTTCTTGAAACAAATGACAAGTATGTGTTTAGATCATAAAACTGATTTTTAGATAAAACGTTCTTGTTGACAGGAGAAGCATTTCTTCACTTGAGACGTAAGTTTAAGTGACCTGACAAAAACAAACAAGCAAAAAAGAGTATCACTGGAGGAAACGCTTACACTATTTCATTTTCAGCTGTTTGTTACATTCAGAACAAAAATTATTTCGTTTTTTACCGGAAAGATCAATGAATATACACATGAAGGAATAAACAGATCGGCAGATAGACACAAACAGAATATTAGAAAACACAACGAAAGCAAATTTCTTTTCTAAACAGCCAAATTCTTGTTTTAGACGAAATATATTTACGTTTTAATATCAGTAGTATAGTACGAAAAAAACGAAAACTGGAATACACAAAGACAATAAAGAGAAAGAAAACAAACAAATAGACGACAGAAAAACATACATTTCTCTACGGATATAATGTTTTCAACACACATAATTATACGTACGGATGTGATAGAGCACACAAACACACACTCAAGTAATACTAGTCAAATTTATTTCTTCTTATTTTCTTGACGATAAGCATCTAAATCCGCATCTAAATCTTCAACTGTTACTGCCGACGATTGATCATTATTATTATTATTGCGCTGAGCTCCTCCGTTTTGCTGTCGTCCTCGTCCTCTACCACCACCATTCTGCATATTTGTTCGACGCATAACACGACCATATCCATTCGAATTACCGGCATTACCTGTACGATTACCATCTCCTCCTCTTCGATAAGATTGTGTAGAATCATTTCCATCATTATAAGAAGAATTTCGAGTTTGTTGAGATTGTAAATTTAGATTATCTTCAAATCGGACAAGACGAATGTCCATTGGACGACCTAAAATAAGCAAAAAAACAGTAAAATAGTTTTTCTCTCAGTATAGCAATCATTTATACTTTCTGCTGTCCAGACAAAATCTCAGTCTTCTATATGGCGAATATATCAACTACACTGCTCGAAACATTTTCGCATTTCTTCTCTGAATGGTTCCATGACGGAAGAACACAACTGCTTACTTAGATGTATAGAAATCAAGACTCAAAGTGATAAAAGATGACATTTCTCACTAACACCAACTACAGAATTTTTTCATCAGACATTTGGGAAATCCAAAACTGTCCTTATTTTCGTAAAGCGAAAGTGTCCAAAAACTTGTACTCTTTCGCCTGAACGAACGTTTCAAATTTTGTTACTCGTTCATACAATAGAAAACAGTTTTGCATATCCAATAAACGAGGAAAAGAAACACTGTTATTATTGACAAAGCTGAATTTAACTTTCATAAAATCTAACAGTGTTTTCTATTATGAAAAGCAGTGAATATCCTTACCATCTAAATTTAATGTATTATATTTTTGTTGTGCTGTAATTGCATCTGGTCTTCTTTCAAATACCACTTCTGCTGTTCCTAAAGATCTTCCACTTTTATCATAATGTACTCGAGCTGTTCTGATTGGTCCAACATCTTCAAATAATTCCTGAAATCAATAGATAATAATTATAGCTACAAGTAGAAAATCTAAGAAAAGAACAGACTGTTTCAACTATAGAAACTCATGATACATTTGACCTAAAATATGGCTTACTCTATTACTTTCTCCCAAAGCTCTAGGTAACAGCAATACTACACTAACAAAAGAATAAAATAAAAAAATGCTTACTTGTATGTCATTTGTTGTAACTCCATAGTCAAGATTCGATATAAGTAATTTGGCTGTTGTATTTGCCCCGCCCGTTTGACGCTGTGGGCGAACTTTATTAAAAGATTGATTTTCTTCGTATAAATCATGTTGCCATCGGCCTTGAGGTGTGCCACTTGGTCGTTGCTAAATAGAAAAATAGGTTTAATACTACTGCAATTTGCTTGTTTTATGTGAGAAATACTAATCATTTTCTATTATTTTTGTAATATGCACAAAAACATCATACTTACTGTTCCTGATCCCCTTCTAAATCCATTAAATGATCCACGATTAAATCCACCACGTCCTCTAAATCCTCCGCGAAATCCACGACTACCACCTCCCGCTCCACCTCGCCGTCTCGGCCCCGTTGTTCGATCCAAACGTATAATATCATCCAAACCAAGTGAAAGTTTATCGCCGTTGTTCGAAGATGCTGCTGCCATGATTTATCAACGCACAAATATATATATGTATGTGATTATGATATCTAAAAGTTTTTTCTCGTTGTAAATGCTGTTGGAAGACATATGTATGACTGTAAAGTTTAAACAGAATTTTCAAAGGTTGAAAATTTAAATCATATGTGCCTGCTATTTTTGTGTTCCAAACAACACACCCAACTGATAAATCTAAGAAACTTGTAGAAAACGTTTTCTCTGGACGACTCTATTTTGTATTTGATGATCATAATCAGCAAATGATCAACAATAAATTGGAACGATAATTTTTTTGTTAGCAAAAGGAAAAACCGTAGTAAAAAACTATCAAAGTTTAGCACATTGAAGTTTTGATAAACCCATGATGAGAAGATAAATAAAACATACGAAATAAGTTAATGAATAATAATGAATCAAAATCCAACTAATCTTGATATCAAAACAAAACGCGATAATGAGACGACATAAGAATATAAAATTGGGTATTTCTGTACTTTTAATTTCATACAAAGAGTTGCCATTTATTATTTGTGTTAACTTGCCTGCACAATAGAACAATTTAAGAGTAGTTCTATTACCACTCACACACAGTGGCAGCATCATGTAGCTGTTGCCACTTCTCGGATATATTACGGAAAAATAAGTATACAGTTAAAGAATCATTACTATCATCGAGTCTCCGATGAAGATTATTAAATAACATTTCTTGAATCAACAGATGTCAGGCAATATCGGATATACTAAAGTCTGTAAAGGTACTTCTAAAAAGTACCTTTACAGACTTTAACTTGGAGTCATATGATAATGAAAGAAATGCTAGTATGGAAGACGCGACGAATTTTTTAAGATAAAGATTTACCCTGAAAGTAATTAATATTAGTTCCAACATATGACGAGAAGGCCGATGTATGTTGATCGGATGAAAATACTGATAGATGAACTTCACTCGTTGAAATATTTTGAGAAAAAAAAGCTTTGCTAAAATTTGAAAGTTTTGTTAGATGGATAACTGTAATATAAGATTATCAATAGGTGAAAAATACATGAGGTATTGACACTGATGCACCACAGTACATTAGAAAGCTTTTACCCGTTACTTTTTACGCATATCATCGGATCAAAAACTTTTAACAGCTTGTTCAGCCAAAACCGATTGCAGATTCGCCCTCTCCATGGTCGGGTATCTGGTACGCGATAATTTTTGGATCAGGGCACTTTACAAATAATTTTCGACATCGTTTTGCATTCGGTTCCGTACAGTAAATATTTGAAAACTTTTTAAAAGACAATGTGAACTTTTTTTCCAAAATACCCCGATCCAGAAGTTATTGCGTGCCAGATAATCGATTATGGCATCCTTCTGAGTAACTACGAAAAAGTACAAAGACAGGTGAAAATTGTGTCTGGAAGCTCAAAATTTTTCATCTCTATTCGTATTTTCATACTTCCTTAAAGAGAACCGTCACAAAAGTTAGCTGACGTTTCATTTTTCTCAGAATTAAAGGGTCAATCGGTGGTTTCGAACAGCTTTGCTGTTTCCGCATTTCTAGAGGTTTCTGGAAAATATTGATTTTCCAGAGACATTCTGGATTCCTTAGTACTAACACGAGTTTTCTGTTCTGATCTCAATAGATTCTTGTCAAGATTCATTTAAGACCAAAATAAAGGTTCTGCAAACGGATTAATAGTTCGAAGGAAGCGCAACAAAATGGCAATTTTAACTGGAACAATAATATTTTCGATTAAATTTTCTTCTGCATTCCAAGAGAGCTGGGATTTTTGCGATTAGAATGAGCAGCCAAAGCTGCATCAGAAAATGTGTTTTTCGTGATCGACGCATACACTTTGTATAACGTAGCGTGTATCATATGGATTTACGCTCCAGAAGATGCTGCTACCTTTTCCCCTAATAGTACGGTGGCAACAGCCACAGCATAACTAGCCGTAAGTGTCGTAGTTGTTTCCACTGCTCCTGGAACACTCGTCACATCTATTGCCATTATTTCCAGTGAAGATTGGACCACTTCTAGGCGAATTAGGTGGATACTTGCTAATGACGCTGAATATACGCCTTATTTTCTCACCTTGCTCGTAGCATTTTCAACTTTCAGTGACATTTATTTATCAACAATACGAATCATTGTTTATGGTTGTATATTCGGCTTTGCACGATACGTATAATTCTTATGGCTGTGCGATTGGATTTAACATGACACTTTTAATTCTTGGTACAATAGCATTGGATCTGACAATTTACTATACCCGAAGGGCGGCAGGCACGATGTGAGAAATTACATGCCAACCATTGGTTATTTTACTGATGACACTTAGTGTAATAGTGACGTAAAATGGTGGACAAAAGTTCAAGACACTTTTTGTTTTTGCTATAGCTCACTCACCTTGAGATCCAGAGATCTCGTTCTTTTGCGAGCATATCTCAGAGTGTACACTGTAATCTTGAAAAGGATCTAGAAATAATTTTCGACATCGTTTTGCAGTTGGTTCCGTATAGTAAATTTTTGAAAAATTTTTAAAAGACAATGTGAACTTTTTTCCAAAGTACCCCGATCCAGAAATTATTGCGTACCAGATAATCGACCATGGACAAGACGAATCTGCAATTAGTTTTGATCGAACAAGCATTTACAATTTTTCGATCGGTGATATGCACAATTCTGATGATAGTTACTTAATTTGTTATATTATGTTGACACCGTTTACAATCTCAATATTAAACTAACTTTCCGACTCTAACATTAAGAGTAGTTGTACAGTACTGAATGTTTATTTTCACCTAATGATGGAATATAGGGTGTCCGTAAAGTCCTTAGAGTTAGAAAATGTTCAATATTTTCTTTATTCTTTACCCAAATGAGCTGATATTTTTTCTGAATGTGGAAAGTAATAGAAGTGTTTATTCAATGCAGACAGAGCATTTATGAACGTAAAGCCAGCAAACTTTCTTTAATGAAATAAGTAATTCGCTACGATGACGTCTTATTTTGTACAAAACGTAAACCACTCGTTGAACCTGACCATGTTCAACAGCGCCTTCATGTCTGTATGAATAATGGAGGACAATTTGTCTCAAACTAGGCTTACATATCAGTTACATTTCTGA